CCCAGCTTTGTGGAAATACCCCATGTGCATCACTGTATTTAGTATAGACAGCCCTTTATTTTTAGTTACTAAGGTACTCACCTTTCCTTTAACATTCCTGTTGCAACTCTGCCATCCCCCCTCCACCTCATTTGCAGGACACTCAAAATAGAGCCTGACCTATTTTAGACCCTCAGATCATTGTTTGTTAAATGAATATATCAGCACATAATGAAGTAGATAAAAAGGTAATCAAAATCAAGGATTTCTGGAGTGTGAAATCCTTGGATTCTATACCTGTTTCTACAGCTTGTTAGCTGTGTGAGCTTGGCAAGTTGTTTACCTTTTCTGAGCTTCCAGACCCTCATCTGTAAAATCAGGATAAAAATCTACTTACCACATAAGGCTATGCTAGCATTCATTAAGATTATGCATGACAATTGCCTGGTTTATAGTAAATACTTAGCATTGGCTGCAACCACAAATATTATTGCAACTATTGTTGAACTTCTTTGGGCTCTATGGGCCATTAGAGCCATCTCAGTGGTAAGATTCCTCAAATTTGTGTGTAATTATTTGGTCACTATAGAATTTAATGTTTTCAGTTAGGCCAGGTGCTGAAAGACAAATACCATATGATCTCACCTTTAACAGGAAGCTAAACAACAAAACAAACAAGCAAGCAGAAAAAAAAAACAAACCAAAGACACTGAAATAGAGAACAAGGGGATAGTGACCAGAGGGGAGAAGGAAGGGAAGTTAAGGGGAAAATGGGGGAGGGATTTGGAGGAACAAATAGGAAGGACACAGGGACGAGAACTAAGGGGGGGTGGAAATGGGAGGGAGGTGGGGAGCAAGGGGCGGGGGAGGCTGGGAAGGGAAAAATAGACAAAAAACTGTACTTGAAAAATAACTAAATAAAATTAATTAAAAAAAGAATTTAATGTTTTCTCCTTAATTAAACTTCTATTTATATATTTCTGGAATAACAGAGTTCTAGCATGTTCTCTCTAGTTATTATGCAGATAAAATACACAAATTAAATTTAGATTTATTCACTGATCATGTATTGAACATCTACTATGTGGTAAGCACTATTCAGTTAGCACAGGCACAATAGTGAACAATACAGACAAGAATTCCTGCCTTCTTTGATCTTATATCTCAATACTTATAATAGCTGAGAATTATAAAGGACTTATTCTGTACCAGGAATTTCCCAGAGCACTTTACAGATATTGCCCTATTTAATTACTTAAATTGCTCTACAGGGAGGTAGTATTATTGTCCCTGTTTTTACTAGTAAGGAAACTGAAGGGATTTCTCAGGGAGACTGGGCACTGTGTCTGCAGTCTTGCTGTGATGCAATGTGGCAGAGCTGAACCGGGCAGCTGGGTTCCGGAGCCCTGCTTTGATGCCATTATTCTATACACTTTCAAGTACTGAGATTTGCTGTAAAGGCAAATGGGGGAGGGGGAAATAGGACCGACTGTTGCTCAACTCATGTTGATCATCATCAATTTGATACCCAAGGGTAAACTAGGATAGAAAATTGAAAAAAATTTTAAACCCTTACAGTCAACACAGCTGGAGTGTACTTGCATTTAAAAAGTCAAAAGCCACACACATTTAGGTTCTTTCTTAGTGCCTCTGAAATACAGTTAAAATAAAGTTCCAGTAATGTTATTTTTAAATATATTTTGTTGATTTGCTATTATAGTTGTCCCATTCCCTCCCCCCCTTTTATTCCCCTCTGCCCTGCATATCCCCTCCTATCCACATTCCCCACCTTTAGTTCATTTCATGTCCATGGGTCATACATGTAAGTTCTTTGGCTTCTACATTTCCTATACTATTCTTAACGTCCCCCTATTTTCTACCTATTATTTGTGCTACTTTTCTCTCTATCTTTTCCCCCTCTCTTTCCCTCCCACTCCCCTGTTGCTAACCCTCCATGTGATCTCCATTTCTGTGTTTCCATTCCTGTTCCAGTTGTTTGCTTTTGTTTTTGTTTTAGGTGTGGTTAATAACCATGAGTTTGCTGTCATTTTACTGTTCATATTTTGCACCTTCTTTTTCTTAGATAAATTCCCTTTTAAAATTTCATATAATAAGGGCTTGGTGATGATGAACTCCTTTAACTTGACCTTATCTGAGAAGCACTTTATCTGCCCTTCCATTCTAAATGAGAGCTTTGCTGGATAGAGCAATCTTGGATGTAGGCCCTTTTCAAGACTTGGAATACTTCTTTCCAGCCTCTTCTCGCCTGCAAGGTGTCTTCTGAGAAATCTGCTGACAGTCTGATGGTAAATCCTTTGTAGGTAACTGTCTCCTTATCTCTTGCAGCTTCTAGGATTCTCTCCTTATTTTTATTCTTGAGTAATGCAATTATGAAGTGCCGTGGTGTGTTCCCCCTTGGGTCCACCTTCTTTGGGACTCTCTGAGCTTCCTGGACTTCCTGGAAGTCTATTTCCTTTGCCAGCTTGGGGAAGTTCTCCTTTATTATTTGTTCAAATAAGTTTTTAATTTGTTGCTCTTCCTCTTCCTCTTCTGGTACCTCTATAATTCAGATGTTGGAACGTTTAAAGATGTCCTGGATGTTCCTAACCCTCTCCTCATTTTTTTGAATTCCTGTTTCTTCATTCTTTTATGGTCGAATGTTTCTTTCTTCCTTCTGGTCCAATCCATTGATTAGATTTCCAGTTTCCTTCCCATCATTATCAGTTCTCTGTACATTTTTCTTTATTTCACTTAGCATAGTCTTCATTTTTTCATCTAATTTGAGACCAAATTCAACCAGTCCTGTGAGCATTCTGATTACTAGTGTTTTGAACTGTGCATCTGATAGGTTGGCTATCTCTTCACTGCTTAGTTGTATTTTTTCTGGGGCTTTGATCTGTTCTTTCATTTGGGCCATTTTTTTTTTTTTTTGGTCTCAATGTGCCTGCTACATATAAGGGGCAGAGCCTTAGGTGTTCACCTGGGTGGAGTAACCCACATCGCTGGGTTGTGACTCTGTATGTGGGGAAAGGGTCTGAGGGGGAACCATAGTGCTTGCTCTGCTCTCTGCCAGTTTTCAGTCACTTCCCCTGCTACCCACAAACAAACTGGGCCTTTCTGGTGCTGATTCCAAGGTGGATGGGCCTGTGTATATTCTTGGACCCCGCAGGTCTCTCCAGTGAACTCTCCTGTGAGTCTGGGAGTTTCTGCTGCTGCTGCTGCTGCTGCTGCTGCCTCAGCCCCACAGGTGTTTTCAATTGGTGGTTTGAGGCTTTATTTCCCTGTGCTGGGACCCTGGGTTGCGCGGTCTGTCTCGCTCCCTAGCTGTTCCTCCCAATTTACTCACATGTGAATGTGAGACCGCCCACTCTGCCAGCCACCTCCTTGCTAGTCTGCCAGCTGCTGCCTCGCACACCTCGCTGTACAACCTGCTGCCTCACTGGGCCTGCCAGCCGTCACCCTTCCACGAGTCCTCTCCACCCGGCTGCCCGTCTCTGCCCCTCCTACCTGTCTGGATGGATGTGTGTTCTTTAACTTCTTGGTTGTTGGACTTCCACATAGTTCAATTTTTCTGTCATTTCTGGGGTTTTTGTTTTTGTTTTTAAATTGTTGTTGTCCTTTTGGTTGTGCGAGGAGGCACAGTGTGTCTACCTATGCCTCCATCTTGGCTGGCAAGTTCCAGTTATGTTATTTTTTTAAAGGGTAGAAAACCTCTCCAGAAAGCATTAAGTACTGCATGAGTGAGAGGGGTGGGGGGCCATTAAGGGAGCTGCCCCGAGATCAGTTCGCCTCTCAGAAAAGCTCTTCGACACACAGTTGTCATCTCCAGACTTCATCTCTGTGGGGTTTACATCATCTGTCTTGTTTTTGTTATTTCACTTTAATTTTTTATATTCATTGAATTTATTCAATTCTATAACAGATCATCTGTACTCTGTATTGCACGTTCACCGCCCAAGTCCTACCTCCTTCCATCACCAGTTATGCCAACAGCCCTCTTCTACCTGCCCCATCCCCTTCCCTCCATTAATCGCCAAACTGCTCTCTCTGTCTGAGGTTTTTGTTTATTAATTTTTTGGTTGGTTGGTTTTTATTATTTGTTTATTTGTTTGTTTTTGCTTAGTACCTTTTTCCACCCAGCCCTGCAACCCTCCTACCCTCTGACAGCTGTCTGTCTGCTCTCTATCTATGAGTCCATTTCTATTTTGTTTGTTAGTTTATTTTGTTCATAGATTCCACATATGAGTGAAATCATATGCTAGTTTTCCTTCTCTGAGTGGCTTATTTCACTGAGCATAATATTCTCCAGGTACACCCATTCTGTTGCAAAGGGTAAGATCTTCTTCTTTTATGGCCAAGTAATATTCCATTTTGTAAATGCCCCATGGCTTTTTTATCCACTCACCTGCTGGTGAGCACCTGGGCCACTCCTGAATTTTGGCTATTGTAAATAATGGGACATTTGCCTCCCTAACACTGAACACAGTGCTCAGCATAAGGAAGGCATACAATGTTTACCAGAAATGAGCTACTATTATGGGCTTCAAAAGAAATAAAAAGAATGTTTCTTTTCATTGGCCCCTTAAAACTGTCTGCCTGTCCAATGCACAGGGGAATGAAGGAGCTTATAGCCATTCTGTGTTACTCAAGAACTCAGTGACTATTAAACATTCCTCAGCTAGTGAACTGTGGGAAAAACGAGAAGTGAATATGTTAAAGAAAGAACAGTATGTGTTCAGGCTCTAGAATATGCAAACTTCTACTCACTAGAACAGGTAACCTGGTTTGGACTTGTAACTTAATTGGGACAAAACTCTGGGGTGGAAAAATATCCCTTCCGTGTGCAGATGATTCCATCCGTGATCCAGTTAAACATTCATTAGTTCAGTAGAACCTTGCCAAACTGCCACATTATCTCTTCTTTTTGACAATTAATATTTGATCCAACAACTGAGAAATGGGGAAACAAACATAGACTGTGGACTCATTTCGATAAAGTGAGTATTAAATCAAACACAGACCTGTGAGTTCACCAAGGTTCTGAAGAACTTGCCTCAGGTTTCTGTTTCCTTCGGTGGATAAATCTCTAGACTGTGAACTCTGTCAGGACAGGAAAGAACCATGTACTGTTAGCATGAAGAAACTTGGGTTCTAACTCTAATTTTGCTCTTGTACTAGACCTTGGGCAAGGTGCAGTATCTGCTCAGATTTTAGTTTTCTCCTCTAAAAATTAGGGGTTTGGATTAGGCTGTCATAAGGTCATTCATTCTACATCTAATAAACTACTTTTAATTCATTCATCTATTTGATTAATATTTATTATCTACTGTGTGCTAGGCACTGTTCTGGATCTTTGTAGGTAATAATTAGTGAGGTAGATAAAGATTTGGTTCTATCAGAACTTTTAGTCTTATGAAGGAAGTAAGCACTCAACAAATAATCCTGCATATCTTAAATAATTATTTAAGTGTGGTTGCATTAAGTGCGATGAAGGAAGGCAGGGTGGCATGAGCATACATGACTAGAAGGCCTTAGAACAGTCCCAGGGGTCAGGGATGCTTTCCTGAGGATGTGACATTTGATAGCTGGTGTCTGAAGGATGAGTAGGAGTGGCCCCAGGGGAAGAACAGAGGAAAGACCTGTCCAAGCAGAAGAAAGGAGCCAGGTGCTTAAGGAGCTATAAGTAACTAGCCAGGAGCTCAGCAGTCACATGACTGAGGCTGGAGAGGCCAGCTGTGGCCCATCATGCAGACCACTGCAGGCCATGGAGAGATTAGCCTTCAGTAGGAAAGGGGAGCCATTCATGAGAGTGATATGGAGGTAAAGGATCCACAGTAACTTCCTACTCTGTCCTTACCCCCAAATTGTGATAAGCCCCAATGGTCAATGTCTTAACTTAGATCCTTCTGGATTAATTATTACAAAAACAATATTGCCATCCAAATCATCTCTAAACTTCTTGACTAAATCCGCTCATGGACCTCTCACACTTGCAAAAGCTTTTTTTTTTCTTGCACATTATTGCGGTGTATTAGCAAAGAACATGCTGCCAGAACCTTTTGCAAACCCTCACTAATGGGGTTACCACCCAAATGCTCTCAGGAAATGTCACCTTTTGTAAGAACTGCTGTAGACAAGCCTTTGAAAGAAGTCAGCATCTAGCCTGCTATTTGAACTCCATAAAACTCACTTTCCCCACTTCTTTTCTTTGTAAAGGATTTAATAGCTTCTATTTAGAAGTTGAGGTGAATTTAAGTCATGTACTTCCTCTTTCAGGAACCCTGGAATTCTAGATTTAACTTCTATTGTATACTGAAAGGCTTTGTACTCGAAAACTGTCAGAATCCGATCAGAAGGTGGGCAAGAAGTTGTGGAAGGTGAAGCTGAGAACCTTTTCGAGTGCACCTGTGCATACCTTAGTGACCTGTCACATTAACCATGACAGATACAGGAGGCACTTGGAAACTGACCACAGTGATAATTCCCTAACAAATATTCTGGTTTCTTTATTCTACCCTAAACAAAAATATGATGTATCTTTCCATATTAAAAAAATGCAACCCTTTCACAGTATACTGTAGAATACTATGTATTGTCTGTGTTCTTAATGTCTAACCATAAACAAGTCAACCCAATTTGGGGGGCCTGAACTTTTCTCCAGGACTGATTTGGGGTTCACAATCAATATATTAATGTGTCGTTATTTGTCACTCACTGTTACTTTAGTCATGTGATTGGTAGCCAACTGAACAGCTCACAGAAGACAGTGGAAGAAAATGGGTAATATAAATTCTGGGCCCTGTGTTTCATAGAAGAACCAGAGAGTTATAAAACTGGGTTACTCACTGAGAATTAAGGGAAAAACCCAGTGTATCTGGTGACCTCATTTACCACGAAGGTGAGCCAGTTAGCAATTAGTCAGGAAGTTCTGCTGAACATTGTGGTGGGAGAGGCTGCATATTCAGATACTGCAAATCCTGCCGTCTGGGGCCGTGCAGTACTCGTCTCTGAGAGGTGTCGGCATAAGGAAACATGGCATCGTACAGTGTTGAAGAACATAGGTTTGGGGTTCCAGCTTGACTACTGCATTGCTGCATGGCCCTGGGGAGTTACTTACCCGTCTAAGCTTAAATTTCCTTAACTTTAAAATAGGGCTAAAAACACCTAGGACTTGGTGAGCAGTGTCAGGACTTGTGTGAGATGAATGAGGCTCTCACCTGGGGCAAAGTGGAAGGCGACATCGCAAAGCTCACAATAGAGATGAGTAATATCTTAATGTGATATTCTCTTTCAGAACAATCAAATTGAGTGCCAAAAATGCACAATGAACAAAATAACAAGCCTTTTCCCCCCTCATGACTGAATACTCTGAACTTTTTATCTTTGAGGTTTTAGCAGAAGGTTGTAGAGTCACATGCTTGGCCTTTTCTCTATGCCGCTGTTTTGGCAGCCATTTCAGACTTTTAACGTCTTTTGCCATTTAGAGAGTCTTAAGAATGTTCAGAATCCTCCAGTCTTGACATTGACACACAATCTACTTACTGCAGTTTGTTTGTTTCATTTCTCCCACTAGAACTTAATCTCTGTGGAGGCCTGGATTTTCTTTAGAAGGTTTTAGGTTGAAATAACTTTGGACTCACAGAACAGTCCCAAAGCCTTGATGGAGATGTCCCGAGTTTTCCATTCATGTCCTTTTTCTGTTTCAGGACCCACTTTGTGTTTACTCTTCTTGGCTCTTCATCTCCCCCAATTTGTGACAGTTTCTCTGTCTCGGTTTTCGTGACCTCGGTGTGTCTGAAAGCTACTGGTCAGATACTTTGATGTTCCTCAAGTTAGGTTTGTCTGATGTTTTCTCAGAATTAGATTGAAATTATGAATTTTGGGGAAGATTCCCAGAGGGGAGGAAAGCACTTTTTAAATTTTATTTTGATCACTGCTGTTTCCTCATTATCTAGAATAGTACCTGGCATACAATGACAATAATTTGTCAGTTATTTGAGACTGAATTTATTTGCATCTACCTGATGATGTGGCTGAATAAGGTGTAAATACATGCATTTGTACTTATAGCCATACAAGGTTTTTCTGAAGAATATACTTGTAAAATGTTGATGGCTTCTAAAGAAAATTAACAGCCCTGAGAAATCCACTTATCTCCCAATGCAAAGTGGGGAATATTGTTTTATATGAACTCTAGGTTACTGACTGTAAAAAACACCCACAAAAAGAAACCCAACCAACCCAACAAGCAAACCAAAAATAAAAATAGGAGCCCCAGAATGTAAGGAAGCCAGCTTTCAGTATAAATGGACAACATTTGAAAAATGCTCACCAGTTTTTCTCTCAAATCCAATACTCTTATTCTTAACCAAGAATTTGTAGAAAGCAAGCAGTTAGTTCCTGTTTACTCCCTGAATCACTAGCACCCAGCGTCTTACTTGCCCCAGTGGTTCTTTGTACACACTGGCTGAAACTCGGTCTACACCATCAAACACACCTGGAAGGAGAGGCCGACTGGCCCTCGGGCAGCCCCTCCAAGTGATGTGGAAATGACTTCGCAAACTAATTTTGACTCAGACAAGAATGCACTGTGGTTCTAACTACAGTTGGGCAAATTTCTTGAGCTCTTTGAGTTCTATTTGCTTTACGTATAAACACGGAAAAGGCCTTTTAACCTTTGTGTCCACAATTAAAGAAAGCACCCACTTTTAAAAGGGCCGCACAGGAGAGAAAGTGAAAAGAACTGGGAAGCAGTGACTTGATCTGGTGACTGGAGCAAGCCCATCGGACTGCCAGAGCCCCGCGTGTACCTTGGCTGTGTCCACTGAAATTCTACTCTCTGTTTAAACGACGTTTCCCATACCATACTACCTGGGCCTAACCTGTTCATCGAAGCTCAAAACTGTATACTCCCTATGTTGACATGTTATTTCAATACTAGTGATATTATGGGCATATTGTCTTATCTGAAATGATAAATTCACAGCTTCTAGCAATGTGCTCAATACACACCTTATTTGTTTAGCTATGCATTATGGTTATTTCAGTCAGTCCTACATAGACTGTAAGCTAGTTGAGAGCAATAACCCATTTTTGTCTTTGCATCTGAATTACTTTTTTATCAAGAGTTGAATCATATCCCTTCTAAATTCACAGGTTGATGTCCTAACCCCCTAACACCCAGTACTTCAGAACTCGACTATATTTGGAGATAGAGTCTTTAAGACAGAAACTGTGAGGTCATGAGCACGGGCCCTGATCCAGTATGATGGGTATCCTTACACAAGGAAGAAAACTGGACACAGGTGTGGAGAAAAGGCCCCATGAAGATTCGGGGGAAGAAGGCTCTCTGCACACTGAGCATAGTGGCCTCAGAAGAAACCAGTCCTCAGATTTCTAGCCTCCAGACTGTGAGAAAAATAAACAAATAAAATAAAGTCCTGTTGTTCAGGCCACAGTCCATGGGCAGAGCAGTCATAGAGGAGCTCTAGAGTAACTTTGTTACAGCAGCCCTAGGAAACTAATACACTGCTGGATACTCGTTCTGAAATAGCTACATAAATCTGCTTCAAGCAGGACATCCCTGCCCCTGGGCTAGAGATCACCCCTATTTATTGCAACAACAGCTTGTAGTACTCTCTATTATATCACTCATCTATCACACTGCATTGAGATTATTGCTTTATTATTTATTATAACATATCTATTATTTATTACATCTGGTATTATGGACAGAAAACCTGATTCAAGCTAAGTGGACATCCACTGACACTTCAGAAGGAGGTAGAGTGTTGGGGATGTTTTGACTGGAGGATTCAGATGGCATCCCCAGGGTCCAGTCTCTTTCTGTCTCTTAACTCTGCTTCCAGACATTAACTTCACTCTGAGCCCTCAGGTGACGGCAAGACGGCTGCCAACAGGTTCAGGCTTACATACTCCCAGGTTCAAGACCAGCATAATAGAAGAAAATACTATGTCAGTAGTGCCAGCAAAAATTCCTTAGGTTATATTTTGTGGAATCAGTCCACACATGTATCCCTGAACCAGTAAGTATAAGCAGGGTATAAAACTCAGGCCAGGGTGGAGACACATGTCCCAGCAGGAAGGCAGACACCTGGTACCCGTGGACTGAGGGAGGGAGGGGACGTGCTCCCCAGGAAAAACTGCGATCCAGGAGAAGAGAGGATGGGTGTGAGGTGAACAACTTGTTTGTTGCTCCTCTGTGACTGCTCTGCCCTCAAGGACTAGGTACCCCAGTCTCTCTCCATCTTCTGGACCCAGCATGGTTCCCTGATGATGAGGCAGCAACAAGTTGAATGAATGAATGAAATACATGTGGAGCTATCAAGAAAGCATGAGGAGATTTCTATTCCTGCTGGAACCAGGGCAGAGTCCCTCTGGTCTGTCTCCACAGTGAGAAAGCAGCCTGCAGCCAGAGCCTGAGGCCAGCCTCGGGGAGGAAATGGCCCTCTTTTCTTTCCCAACAGGAAACACAGAGCAGCCTTAGTGAGACTGTGTGTATGGACTGCATGATCACATTCTATCTGGACACAACAAAGGGGCTGAAAATTAAAATGGGAATAAATGGGGAAGGAGTGAGGACAGCAATCCTACCTCAAATGTTTCTGTTCTTCACTTCCGCCAGCAAGTGGGAATTGCATCAGATAGGTTACAGAACCACCTAGTGGTCAAAGAGCACCCAGGCTGGCAGTACAGACTCCAAACCAATCACGCGCCAGGAGCCTAACCGCTGCCCTCCTGGGCGTGGGGAATGGTCTACCCTGGTCACTCGAGGGTCTCGGTGCCTTCCCTGGCTTCTCCCTTTGCTCCTATATTTGGGAATGCCACTGAAGGCAGACATTTGAGTTAAAATGAGTCAGCAACATTGTTGTGAGGGGTGCCGAAAAAGGAGGGATTTGGAAATGACAAGGGAGACTGAAAATTTTAGTGAAAATGTCGTCAGTACATGTTTCTATTCATGTCTGGTAATCTGTGGGGATGGAGAGCATATGAGGGACTTTGAAATTCTATTTTATGTATTTTTGTACTATTCCAATTGATTTACAATATGTACATGCTGCTCCTGTGAATAAAAAAGTGGACATATTTTGAACCTAAAGAAATGGAAGCTGCTTCAGCAGGGAGGTTTCCCTGGTGTCCTGAGCGCAGTCTATGCTCAATCTGCACTAACCTATTTGCAGAAGTCCCATACATACTGTCCAGATGTGCACCTGGCATTGCGGGCACAGGCAGTGCTTTGGCACGGCGCTTCGGTTCTACCTTGTTCGAGTGGGAAGTTTATCCATGGACCTCATTAGCCTGGACACTCCAATCTTCGCCAGAGAGTCCTGTTTCTGATAGTGTAAGACTCAAAGCCCCTGACCTTCACCCCCAAGGGAGTTGGTCCATGGCACTGTTTGGAGACAATAAGGCTGGAAGATGATGGTGTGATGGTATTTCATTTTGTTGGTGCACATTATACAGGGTGGAGCTAAGAGGAGGCCCCCCAAAAGGGATTTGGAATGGGGTCCAGAACTCGAGGTATCTAGGAAATATTGGAGAGGCATATAAGATGTCTCTTCCCCCTCACCTCTTCCCCCCCACAGGTGTGAGTTGGGGGAAGTGACACATGGAGCAGGAACATGCAGGGTTGTTTTGTACAGCCACAGCCTTGCAGCTAATCTATGGCCTAGTCATTTAATATATCTATAGCCTTTGGTGGGTCACTTAGATATGTTAAATAGCTATGGTCAGGCTTGGAGCTAGGGGGATGGAAGTTACTCCCCCAGCAAGATGTAACTGGGGAGCAGGTTCTTCATGTTATAGCACCTGCATGGGAGCTTGGAGAAGATTGGCTCCATGACATGGGGCCATACCTGCCCATACTCACGATGGCAGCCCAGTAAACTTGCAATAATACAGGAATGCTGTCAGGTGTAACTGAATGTAGGAGGAGTCGGAAGTGGGGGTACAGAGGAAGATTGGCAAGGGGATTCAAACCCAGACACAACAGCCAGTAGGAGGTAGTATCATGCAGCTTTGCCAGAGTGGGGACCCCTGCAGCCAAGTAGGAGAGAGCCACGTGCTTTAGGCATACCCCTTCACAGCTTTGGTGAAGAAAGGATAATACCATGCGGCTTCACCAGAGTGAGGACCCCCTCTTGGCTTGGCCAGGAAAAGAGATCCATGTGGTTTGGCCAGAATGCAGACCCCCGTAGCTCTGGTGAAGGAAAGAAGAGACTTTTCCTGGAAAGTGGGTACAAGGAACTCTTGCCAGTAGACCATGAGAAGGTGCTACATGGCTTTGGATTAATTAGGGATCCTGCCTGGACAGCAGCAATACAGCAGATAGTGGCAGGAACCTGGATCTCAGATTTATGCTTCATTTTCTGAGTTATGGTATCCTGAATTAGGGCAGGGGAAGAGGGAAGTGCTGTGGGCATCTGTGGGTATCTTAACGGACTTTGATATTTTAATGAAGATGTTAGTTCACAACTTTAAGTCTGTATAGCATTAAATAAACATTCCCTTTCCTTGTCACAAATCTCTGGCATTGAGAGATGTCTTTCCAATGGCAACGGACAATTGAGCCCACTATGGGGTCCGGACGGTATTAGTATACCATCATTGAGGGGGACCTCTCTGTTGTTCTGTAAAAGACACACAGCCCAGATTCAAAATGCAACTGAGTGGCCTGTGATGCCCCACCTAACAAGTCCTCAAGGTTTTAGAACATCATGCATATAACTGAGCTATGACAGTTAGATGCATGATGTTTGGGAAAACAGTAACAAAGTTGTCTTTGGGAAAGTTAATTTGTGGCCCAATGTATTGGAAAGGCAGAGACGTGGGCTTCTGAGACACTAGTTAGGAGAACATTTTAATAATTCAGGGGAAATTTTTGTCAACATTAAATCTTCAGTGTGCCTATTACAGTACCTGACAAGGTGTTGATGATTAATGAGCATTGGTGGTATGAATGTTCATTTAAACCTGGCTGTTTAGTTACAGGATTGTAGAGGAAGGAAGCACAGGAGAGACCTAACAGGATACAGAAGGCACATCTCATAAAGAGATGTAAGGAGATGGGCAGAGAATCAAGTGATGACTGCAGTCTTTATCATTAGTGGAATGGCCATGAGACAGAGATGGAGATAGAGATAGAGATGGAATGGAGATGGGGAAGGGAACGGGGTGGGGTGGGATGGAGATGAGGATGGGGATGGGATGGAGATGGGGATGGGATGGGGATGGGGATGGAGATGGGGATGGGATGATGGGATGGGGATGGGGATGGGATGGGGATGGGATGGAGATGGGATGGAGATGGGGATGGGATGGGGATGGGGATGGGATGGGATGGGGATGGGATGGAGATGGGATGGAGATGGGGATGGGATGGGGATGGGATGGGATGGGGATGGGATGGGGATGGGGATGGGATGGGGATGGAGATGGGGATGGGGATGGGGATGGGATGGGATGGGATGGAGATGGGGATGGAGATGGGATGGGATGGAGATGGGGATGGGATGGGGATGGGATGGAGATGGGATGGAGATGGAGATGGGATGGAGATGGGGATGGGATGGGATGGGATGGGATGGAGATGGGGATGGGATGCAGATGGGGATGGAGATGGGAATGGAGATGGGGATGGGATGGGATGGGGATGGGCTGGAGATGGGGATGGAGATGGGGATGGAGATGGGATGGAGATGGGGATGGGATAGGATGGGATGGAGATGGGGATGGGGATGGGATGGGGATGGGCTGGAGTTGGGGATGGGATGGGAATGGAGATGGGGATGGAGATGGGGATAGAGATGGGATGGCGATGGGGATGGGATGGGGATGGGGATGGGGATGGGAATGGAGATGGGGATGGGGATGGGATGGGGATGGGCTGGAGATGGGGATGGAGATGGGAATGGAGATGGGGATGGAGATGGGGATGGAGATGGGATGGAGATGGGGATGGGATGGGGATGGGATGGAGATGGGGATGGAGATGGCAATGGAGATGGGGATGGGATGGGATGGAGATGGGATGGAGATGGGGATGGGATGGGATGGAGATGGGGATGGAGATGGGATGGAGATGGGGATGGAGATGGGATGGAGATGGGGATGGGATGGGGATGGAGATAGGGATGGAGATGGGGATGGGTTGGGGATGGAGATGGGGATGGAGATGGGATGGAGATGGGATGGAGATGGGGATGGAGATGGGGATGGAGATGGGGATGGGATGGGATGGGATGGAGATGGGGATGGGATGCAGATGGGGATGGAGATGGGAATGGAGATGGGGATGGGATGGGGATGGGATGGATATGGGGATGGGATGGGGATGGGATGGAGATGGGGATGGGATGGGGATGGAGATAGAGAGGGAGACAGAGACAGGACAGGCATGGAGACAGAGAGGGAAATGGGGATGGAAATAGTGAGGGAGAGAGATGGAGAGAGAAACTGGTTGACAGAGAGAGAGAGAGAGAGAATTGTGGATTGTGGAGACAGCCTATCAGAGCAGAGAGAGAGAAGCTAAGTTCCACTCATTGTGCATATGCTGAGTTTGAATCAACTATGAAGCCCCTTACAGAGATGTCCAGCAGGCAATTGACGACAGGGATTTGAGATGGGTGAGAGGTTAGAGTGGGACATAGATTTATTTGGAGGCAGGAGCTGAATCTGTGAGAACCAATTAACTGTCTTAGAGGGCAGGATATAAACACAGAAAACCAAGCGCTCAGATTCAAGTTCTGAGAAATGTTCAGTATTTCAAAAAGTTTCAGGCACAGTGGAAAAACTTGTAGGTGCTAAGCTTCTCCAGTTGCCAGCAGACACCCTGTTTTCTAAAGGCCGGTGAAACTACTTGACACTTTAAATGTGGACTATAGAGTTGTTCAAAGTCAGATATAAGGTGGAAAATCCTTCTGAGAAGCTCAGAGGAATGAAATATTCCAATTTCCCAATTGTTCTGTTTTAAAGTTCTCTCAAAAGCAACAAAAGTCCAGGTACTTCAATGGAAAAGTTTGCAGCTGAGGTTTGCTCTCATTTTAGCCTGTGTGCATGTACTTCCCACTTCTATTTTTTCCCTTGGTCTCCGCTTTGTAAAGAGGTTGTTTAAACATGTGCATCAAATTCTCACAAAGCAACCCCGTCATTGAGGGGACATAAAAAGGGAAGTACAGCGCATTTGTAACACCTTTGCTGGGAGTCAGTGGGAGGGGACACCAAAGGATGCTGTCCAGATCAGTGCCACCCCTGAGCCCTGGGAACAGTTAGTTGACAAACTATGAAGGGCCATAATGGGATACCCAGAGTGGCTTGGGCCACCTTTCTGAGGATGAAAGGACTATCCTTTTGGCAGCAACCATTAGTTACTTCTTTGCTTCCCAGTGGCCCTTTTCTTGTACATTTACAAAAATGGTACTTTTCTGGATGGAATCAGACATCTAGAAACCAGAGACAGAGTGGGGAGAGCAGCTCAGCACAACGGTGGCCTTAGGTGATTTCCAAATAGGTTGGTGGAGGACATGTTGGAATAAGCATATACGGCTTTTACTGATGGCCTAGGAGACAGTTTCTCTCATGAGGACCGTGTGTGTGTGAGCATGCACATGTGTGCACATGTGTTAGCATCAATTTGGATGGGTGA